TCCCCTGCTATGTTAATAGCTTGCTAGACCCTGCAAGAGCCTCCTGTATGTAATTAGATACAATTATTTAAGGTAAATTACTTCTGATTGAAAGTGAAACCAGTTAGTTTTTTCATGCAGGCTCTGTCAATCATTTCCAGGAGAGGTGTGGCTAGGACTGCATAAACAGAAACAAAGTGATTTAACTCCTAAATGACAGTGAATTGAGCAGTGAAATTGCAGGGGAATGATCTATACACTAAAACTGCTTTATTTAGCTAAAGTAATTTAGGTGACTAAAGTAATTTAGTGTTCCTTTAAGTAGTATGATCTTGACATAGCAGAATGGAGGCAGGCAGATCCGGGGCCTTTGATTTATCGGATCAAACATAAGGACATAAAGGGAGTCCCTACACCAAAAGGCAACCAAAAAATTGCTGTATTTGTGGATAATATTTTATTATTTCTTACTTGCCAGCATTTTTCTCTGAAGCCCATAATACCGTTCCTCGAAGCACATGGCAAAGTGTCTTATTATAAAAATAACACGGCCAAAACCCAGGTGCTTCCTGTAAATATTCCGCATCACCAACTGAATGAATTAAAGGCCTTATATGATTTTGAATAGAGAAAAGACACTATAACTTATTTAGGGACACACTTGTCATTTTCAAATCATATTAATTTGAAGCAAAACCATTACAAACTACAGATTAAAATATCCTAAACTTTATAGGGTTGGTGTGGGACTAGGACTTTGTGGTTAGGACAGATTAATGCATTGAAAATGCTTGTGTTACCAATATTTTTTTTTCTATTTCAAACACTACCGATTGAAATACCTATAGCGCTTTTAAAGAAATACCAACAGACGATAAATGCACATGTATGAAAATTCAAGCCCCCGAGGGTTTCCTTGACAAGTACTTGCATTGCCATGAAAGATGGAGGATTTACTGTTCCAAATGTGGCAAGGATCGACCGTTATTGATTTTTTTTTTAAAGCCGATACCGATAATCTGTGAACTTTCAGGCCTATAGCCAATAACGTACCGATTATCTGTACATTTACCATTTTGAAAAAATAAACTATTTGTAAAGGTCAATGCACAAAATATACATGCCACATGTAGTGAATTAAGTGTGTTTTAGACAGGGGAGCTGTGTGTGTTTGTGTAGTGTGTGTGTGTGTATATATATATATATATATATATATATATATGTATATATATAGTGAATGCAGAGTGTGTGTGTTTGTGTAGTGTGTTTATAGTGAATGCAGATTGTGTGTATATAATGAATGCAGAGTGTGTGTGTGTGTATAGTGAATGCAGTGTGTTTGTGTAGTATGTGTATATAATGCAGAGTGTGTGTGTGTGTGTGTGTGTGTTTCTGAAGGTATGTAATTTGTGTAAAATGGGGTGGGAGCATTTTTTATTTAAATTCTTATTTTAGTCCTCCCTCCCTGCTTCCTACTTGGCCAGGGAGGGGGGATATGGCATTCCCTCATGGTCCGGTGGCATGGACTGTGCAGTAGGGGCCTTGGTTTCCTGTCCTAGTTCCTGAGAGTGCGTTTACTATTCCTGTTATTGCTATTCCCAGTATTTTGACCTTGGCTATCCCTGACTACTCTGATTTCTGGTTCCCCTGACTTGGCTTGTTTAATGGTATTGTGTATTTCTGGCTTCCTTGATCTCGGCTATCCCTTGACCATTCTCTGTCCTTATGTATTAGTCCGGCCATTCTAAGGACCGGTTTACGTTCTATCCTTTCTGTTCTGTCTATGTAGATGTTACATAGTTCTGCGTGCTGGACCACACTAGCAGTCGTGACATTACCACAGGGCATGGATCCTGCAGAACTATGTAAGCATATGATTGCCTGTGAAAACAGGGTGGAGGATATGGATCACAGGTGCTCAATTTGCTCAAGCATTCCAGACCTTGCTTCAAAGAACAGCTTATCTGGAGGCACCTCCAGCATCAATGGTAGCTCAGCCACCTGTTCCTGCAACTGTGGTATACAAACCTCCATCCATAACTCTGTCTCCTCCCCCTCGTTTTGGAGGTGATTCCAAAGAGTTCAGGGGTTTCCTTAACCAAATCGAATATCACTTCGAGGCTTCCCCTGGCTCCTTCCCAATGGATAGGTCAAAGATTGGCTATCTTATGAATCAGCTAACGGGTTAGCTTGGACCAACCCCTTATTGGAGAGCGGCAATTCCAGTGCCCGTAATTATAGTGAGTTCCTAACAGCATTAAAAGCTACCTTTGAGCCTTTGGGAAGTGAGAAGAACGCAGCCAAAACCCTGAGAATGAGAATTAAGCAAGGCAGTCATTCCGTAGCTAACTACTCTATAGAATTTTGGACGTTAGCCTCTGAGGTGGACTGGACTAACAGTGGTGGCAACTGGTGGCTGCCTTTTCTGAGGGTTTGGCTGAGAATATACAGGATGAGACTGCTGCTAGAGACCTTCCTGTCAATCTTAATGTTTATATAGCCTACATGATTGACATTGACAATAGACTCAGAGAGAGAGAGAGCAACAAAACAACGTACAAGACGTACCAACCTATCTATAGCCCCTCATTTTTCCAACTCAGTGCTAGTCAACCCTGTTCCACTTCCAGAGGCTGAGCCCATGCAATTGGGCATTACTAAGCTCACTGAGGCAGAGAGACAGCACTGATGAAAACGAGGGGTTGTGTCTTTATTGTGGGAGGAAGGGACATCTAAGGGTCTCATGTCCGGCTCGGCTGGAAAACATGCGCACCTAAGGCACATTTGGGGACCAACCTTAAGTGTGATGTTTATGTCCTCCAAATTGACTAAGAACCGTTTCCTTGTAAAAATTACTCTGCACTGTAAGAAAACTACTATTCAGTGTGAGGCCATGATCGACTCTGGGGCAGCGGAGAATTTAATTGATAGAGGATTCTCTGCTAAACACCTCCTGTCATTGAGGCAGAAAGATAGACCCATTGCAGTTGAGGCCATTGATGGGAGACCTCTTACCCAACCTCTCATCACTCAGGAAACATTACCTATCACTGTCTCAGTATGCATCTTACATTCTGAGGAATTGGTTTTCCAGATTATTTCTTCCCCTTCCTGCCCTGTGATACTCAGTTTCCCTTGGCTCCAGAAACACCATCCATGCCAAGATTGGATTAAAGGAGAGATTGTGGGTTGGGGAGAGAATTGCAAAAGTCATTGTGAACACCATATGCCACAACGTGTTGGTGCCATACATGTACCTACTGCACCTCCCTTAACCACAGATATTCTACCGCAGTATGTAGAAGTTAAAGAAGTTTTTAATAAGGTTCAGTCAGAGGTATTAAAAGATAAAAAGGGTTAGGTTAGCGCTAATAATACAGTCAATAGGCAGCAACCTTACGGAGGGCAGCCCTCTCACCCTCTCTGTTTAGAACGTGCAACAAGGAGAAAAAAAAGCTGCGCCGAGATGAAATAATGCTAAAAATACAATAAAAGATAAAATCAGTGTCCAATAAAAATGTCTAAGGTTGAATAGACTTGATCACTGTATTTGCTAGTAGAGTGTCTTCTACGTTTCTAGTAGTCCAAATCGTCTCGTGATATGGAAGACACAAAGGGAAAGGACCAATCGTGCAGAGTGTATATGATGTATAATAAATTAAATTAAAATATAAATGAAACACTCACATTTAAATGAACTATGGCCAGCTCAAGTGTAACAGGCATACAGCGGAATGATCCCCGCTTATGGGATATGTGGGTGCTTGTCCTCCAGACGATAATGATGTCCAATTCTCAGGAAAAGGGGAGAATAAAAACAGCAAATAGTGCTCTCTGATGATGTGACGTAATAATGAATAAAATAAAATATACTCACAAATGACGTCACTGCACTCTAATAGTAGCGTTGGTGGTATAATCCCCACCTCAGGATAAATGTTAAAAGATGAATAAAATGCCAGGAAAGTAAAATAATGTGTAAAAAGGTAATGGCGCAGAAATCTAACCAAAAATAATTTATTATAAAAATTACACAATATTTAAAACCATTACCGCGTTTCACCACTAGGGTTTTATCAAAATGGAATAATATTAGCAAATAAAGGGTATATATAGGTACATTGGATCTTTAAAAATGGCGCCAAAATAACATTGTTAGCCAATCAAAACAGTGCATTGAACATTTAAAATTAAAATTTACAATTCAGTCAGAGGTATTACCACCGCATAGACCCTATGACTGTGCCATTAATCTGCTACCAAGCACTATGCCTCCGAAAGAGGGAGTCTATGCGCTGTCTCCTCAAGAAACTCTCTGTTTGGAAGAGTATATAAAAGATGCTCTGAGAAAGGGCCACATACGGAGATCCTCTTCACCTGCTGGGGCTGGGTTCTTCTTCGTCTCTAAAAAAGAAGTAGACCTACTCCCTTGCATCAACTATAGGGGCCTAAATAAAATAGCAATTAAGAACACCTACCCAATCCCCCTTATTTCTGAACTATTCGACAGGCTAAAAGGTGCCAGAGTAAAAAATTGCCATCTTCTCAAGATCTTGTCCTAATATTCTTGCGTAAAATCTTTCGGTTACATGGGGTACAGAAAAACATAGTTTCAGGTAGAGGTACCCAATTTATTTCTAGGTTTTGCCATGCTTTCTGTAAGCAGTTGGGCATAGAACTTTTTTTCCTCTTCGTATCACCCTCAGACAAATGGTGCAGCGGAGAGGGCCAATCAGGCCCTGGAATCCTATTTACGTTGTTTTATTGATGTCAATTAGTCGAACTGGTCTGAACTCCTGCCCATGGCCGACTTTGCCAGAAATAATGCGACTCATGAATCCTCCAGTTGAATAATGCTTTCCTATGGGGAGGTCTAATGCGCGTGCGGCCATTGCCACGCATGCGCATTAGGTCTCCCCTGCTGGCTGATGTCAACGGGGGAGGAGCATGGGCGGGATTTTAACCCCTTGTAGCTGAAGGGATTTTAACCCCTTCAGCCCTGCGGGAGGGGGCACTCCAGGAGCCTATAGTGCCAGGAAAACAGGTTTGTTTTCCTGGCACTATAGGATCCCTTTAAGATCTCCAGTCCATTTGGTAGCTGGGAGGGGGCACTCCAGGAGCCTATAGTGCCAGGAAAACAGGTTTGTTTTCCTGGCACTATAGGATCCCTTTAAGATCTCCAGTCCATTTGGTAGCTGGGTTATATACTGTTTTGGCAGACATGCCCTCCACACTGAGGTGCAGTATTTTTTTTGTTTTTATTTCCACTAAGCCTTACTGAGAATCTGAAAATTGTGTTCCATTTACAAGAAGGCTACTTACATGCTGAAGCACTAACTGAACTCTATCTAATGGGATACTCAAAGCAACATAACTTACACGCTCAGTGGCATGACTGTCCACTGCACCTAAAGGCTGCACCCTTCTCTGCTACATTGATAATGTGGAGCATACATGAGAATAAATGTTAATTTTGTGTCATATCCAGGTCAGTAAATTATTGCAATAATTGGATTAACCACAACAGATTAATATTATTTAAATCAAATCTGTAACTGCAAATACCATTTGATAATCTGACAGTGTTGAATTGGACAGTCTTCAAAAAGCAGGCTTGCACTTGCCAAGTAGAATCTCCAATTTGTTGAACTGTCAGCATTCCACTGTGGTGGTTGAGGAAAAGGGTCTAGGTTTCATTAGAGAAACGAACACCCAGTACCATAACTACCATGGCCTTATGTAGTAGTTAGGGTGCCAGGAATTCCCTGGCCCATCTCAGTGTATTCTGGCAAGCTGTTTTGAAACCTACCTGCGTCTTGCAGATCACTTGTGTTACATTCAATATTCTCAGAGCTGGAGGATCCAGATGTCCGTTTTGTTCTACTTATTTATTGGCTGAGAAAGCTCAGTCTAGGCCCTCATCCAGTGAATGAATGCCAATGCTCCAGAAGACCAGACACTGTGTTTTTGCTAAACCATGCGGTTGTAAACCATGCTTAATTTGACAGATTACTCTGGAAAGGGCTGTAGTGGTTATGCTGCTTTAAAGCGGCACTGTCATGCCCATTTTTTTTAAACCCCCCCCCCCTTCCGATTTTACTACATCTAACTGACCCCCTAGTTGCCCCGAAATGCCCCTAAGCACCCCATATTACCTAGTTTTTAATCATTACTTTCTGCCCGTACCTAGGTTCTGGGCGCCGCCATCTTTGTGTGGGTAGTTGAAGGCCCTGCCCACACTAGATAGCGCTGTGAAATTCCCGCGCATGCCCAATTAAACACTTGGGCATTCGAACGGGAATTTCATCTATTTGTTTATTTGTCAGAAAGACGAATTAATGAATAGAAATGTCAGACAAACAAACAAACACCGAATATCGGTGTTCGTTTGTTTGTTTAGTTTATTACAGGGAGGGAGCTACCGGCACGCAGCTCCCTCCTTGTAAAATGTAAAAATAGAAGCGGCAGGCCCGCCTCTTCCTAAGCCCCCCATGTCCTCCTTCACTCTATGGGGGTCAATATGACCCCCATAATGGCATAAGGGAAATTTTAAATCTCCTGACTACACCTTCTCGCAATTCCGCAAGTAGGGGCATGTCTACTAAACAGTGAGCAGCCTGTGGCTGTTTACTGTTGTAAAAAAAAAAAAAAACATCTATTAAGTAGCGAGCCCCCGGCCCCCACTCATGAGCGGAGGGTGGAAGCCCTAAATGAAAATGTGGGGGGACCTACTGTCCTCCCCCCTGGCCTCCAACCATTACCGGCAGATGGGGACCATAAATGTGAATGTGGGGGAGATACCTATTGTCCTCTCTCCCGACCCCCACCCCTGAGCGGCTGGTGGGGGCCCTAAATGAAAATGTTCCCCCCCACCCAAAACAAAAATGAATAAACCCCTACCTACACCCCTCACCCTAAAAAGGGTGAGGGGGGAATACAATATCTAAGTACCTGTAAAAAATAAATAAATAAAACTTACCATTTGATGTCTTCTTTTTTTCTAAAATCTTCATTTTTCAGCCCCCAAAAAGGCCAAATGGAAACCATAATACCCGTTGGACTTTTAAAAAATTAAATAAAATAAACCCTACGGCATAGCGAGTAGGGGCAGAATTTACTAACACTAAGTAACCTTGACTTAGTATTGGTAAATTTGTCTAAAAGACCAATTTAGGTCTTTCAACCTTTTGGTAGATAGCTCCCTAATACCATGGGAATTAGGGAATTATCTACTAAGCGGCTGCAAGATGCAGCCGTGGCACGAATAAGATTGGAGTTTCATTCAAATGAAATTCCGATACGAACAAAGTCCTGAAACGCATCCTAACATGAATGAACAAAGTGTTCTCATTCTGTTAGGACGCAATTTGGCAGTTTCACCGGCGTTCTGTCTAAGTGACAGGACGTTTGGGGAAAAGTGAAATGAAGCATCGCGGGAACATGGAGGAAAGGTGAGAATTGTGGGAAAATTGCTCTGACCACCGGAAACGAAGCACACTTTGCTCCTCAGCTGGTCAGAGATTGTCAGGCGTAGGAAACCACCATAAGACAAATAGTCCCTACTTTGTCTTATGTTTTAAAGAAAACTAGAGCAGACAGGAAGAAATGAAGAACAGATCCTGACAGAGGGAGGGAAGAGGAATCGATTAAAGAAAGGTAAGTTTGGCATGACAATGCCGCTTTAAATGCTACTTTAATTGCTTGATGATGTTGCGTATGCCAAGAAAATTTTAATTCCTGATGATTCTGAATGCACACTGTAACATAATAACCTAAGGCCAGATAGAAACAAACTGACTTAACAATGGTCCCCCCTGCAATATTATCAACATATAATATGTCCAGTTTTTATAATTGTAAAAGTTTGATGGGTTTGGTAAGATAGTCTATACATGTGTAAATATTTAAACATTGTTTTAGAGAGTGCTTTTCAATTTTCAAGACTACTGAAATTCCATGGACTAATAGACATCTGTGAATAGAAATAACCACAAAAAAATACATAAAGCTATTTTTTTTTTTTTTTTTATGTAGAGACTGAATAACTTAGGAACAAATGCTTACAAAAGAAACACAGCATTTTCTTGGCAGTATTTAATATAATTTGCTTTTCTACCTGTGTGCAATTGGCTGAACAGCTGAGAATACTGTGTTATAACCGGAAACCAGGGCATTTATGATTAAGTTCCTGTTATTGACTTACTTGAGAGAAAATGCCAAGTTTCAGTAGAATTTGTACAGTAGACTCTCTGTGGGAGCCCTGGGTGAATGCTGTTGTGAGTCTCTAGACTTCTTTTAAAATTCGTTTTTTGTTTTTTTTTATCCGTCTAAAATGAAATTCCTTTTTTAAATTCAGAGTAACTATAGTACAGTGGGTGGACAGGAACTAAATGACCTTTCCTGCATTTTCTTTCACATTTACTATTTTGAATTGTGAACTGGAGCCAGATTATATATATTTTTTCCTATTGAATGTGCTTTATTTTAAAGGTTGGGTAGGTTCATTGCAGTTCTGACATTCCAAACACACAATTAGAATAATTTCATTTGTAAGTATTTGGCTTGAAATGTGAAGTAGCATGAGAATCCTAGATCTATCTAAATGTGTGTGTGTATGTGTGTGTGTGTATGTGTGTGTGTATATATATATATATATATATATATGTATGTATGTATGTGGGTGTGTGTATATTTGCATACTTCAAAAAAGCAGTGTACTGGTTATAGTGGAAAGTATCTATTGTATTTTTTTCCTGTTTGCATTCCAAGCACGCTACCGTACACAACATGTTTAACCATTTGACGACCGATGACGGTTCAGGACCGTCATCAGAAAAATCCCCTTTGGGACCGATGACGGTCCTGAACCGTCATAACGGTCTGGGGCTACTTACCTGATCGCCGTCGGTCCCCGGCGGCGATCAGCGCTCGTCCCGGTCCAGGGGGACTGCCTGTCTGCCCGGGCAGTCTCCCCTCGGCAGATCAGGACCCCGCAGCCACTTGATCACGTGGCCGCAATAGGTGCCTATGTATCTGCCTGCAGGGGGACTGTCTGTGCTTACAAGCAGTCTCCCTGCAAGTGAAAAATCAAAAATAAAGTTAAAAATTAAAGCGATCAGTGTAAAAAAAAAAAAGTGTGTGTGTGTGTGTGTGTGTATATATATATATATATATATATATATATATATATCTATCACTCATATTTGTGTTCGGGGCAAATAGCCGTATATGGAGTAAGGTTCCAGCATAAGCGTAGGATAGTATAAAGGGAGCAAGTGGTGTGCCGAGACCGACGATACGGTAGGCCTGTAAATAAAGAGGGCAAAAAGAATAATCAAAGATTTAATACAGTCAACAATATATACAAATTAACCAGACATTTCCTTAAATGCATTACAGTATTTAATTCCTTGAAGGATTTTGAAGGTAGGAATCTAGGACTGCAATTGGACACCATTTGTTGTGGGTAGGATAGTATGTTATCTCTACTGTTGGTGCGTGTTGACTCGTTTCGGAATGTGGTAGAGCCAATAGGTAATGATAAATGTGTTTAAATACGTGGGATCGTTGAAGACAATGACCTGTCTGAGTGGTGGTTATGGTAGTGGATTCTCTGGCCTGAGAAAGGCATAAAAGGCAGTGTGCATGGCTGGTAATGGCCGACTTGGTAGTATAATTGAATGGTTGTAGCTCTAATAGGTTCGATAAGGATGGAAAAGTTGGATGGCTATTGGTAATCTCTGAGAAGAACATGGGGGGATGGATTCCTGAAAACCTCTGAGTATATTCTTGTCTGGTATGATAGCATGAAGTTATGGTAGTTTTGGCCATAGGTTATCCTGTGTTGTTTAATGCCTGTAAAATATATAATTAATGGTGTGTGAGATGGTTTTAGTTTAAGGTGGCAAAAAATGAAGCAAAACCTAGGAGAAATGTTATGACACAGGTTGAGCTATGTCGTGTTCCAATGAGATTCTTTAAAGCCAGGTGAATAGCTGTGTTATGCGTTCTACAAGTATGGGATGAAAGTGCTAGGTGGGATAATGCATGCTATGCTGCATGAGTATGTCTAATCCATGATTTTGTCTCTGGAACGAAAGAGTGGCCGTGACTGTATGGGCGGCTGTAGGAAGCATATGATGAACATGCCTGGAATATA